TGAAAAATAGTTAAAAATTTCGCGTACCAGCGCATGAAAGCTGAATTAGAAACCTTGAAGGGTGAATATCTTTCCGTGATTCACTAGTTAATAGTTTAGTCGCCAAAATTCTCACAAGGCCGTAGATGATAACCAACAGCGAGGGAACGCTGAATTTGAATAGGCAGGGTTGAGCATGGACAGGGAGTTATTACCATAAAATTCAGCCTCCTAGACTCCGTAATTCCCGAGATATTAACTTACCCGTGAAAAACTTTCATGGCGCCGTACTTGTTACCCGCGGGTAAGGGAAGGCTGAATTTGAATGAGCAAGGTTGAGCGTGGGCAGGGGGTCATTACCCTAAAATTTCAGTCTCCTGGACTCCGTGGTTCTCGAGATACTAACTTACTCGTAAAAAACTTTCGCGGGAACGTACGCGTTATCCGCGGGTACGAGGAAGCTGAATTTAAATTTGCGGGGTCAAACGAGGGTGGGGAACGTTGCCCAAAATTTCAGCTTCCTAGCTTCTGTGGTCCCCGAGTTGAAAGTTACGGACAACCCCGCGACAATATACGTTTTGTACTGCTGTTACACTGCACAAAACGCATAAAAATAAATATCACATATGAAAGTTAACTTTTCAGTGGAAGGCAAGTAGGGCATGAAATAAAGTTTGGCAGTAAGTGCTAGACTGCATTTTGCTGAAGTGTGAGTGAGTTAATAATGTATTTTATTTTAAAAATTTGAGTTGCTTTATTGCAGCTGGATATGTTATATGTGAAATCACTGCGATTTTAACGGTGAAAAACATTCAGGACGAAGTGACAATGCTCAAAATTTACAAACGACACCCCGAAACGACCAAGACCTTGGCAGGCGGTTATATCGGACGAATCGCTAAACTCGTAAATTCCTCAAAAGAGAAAAATGAGCGTTAGGACTGCGAGAAGCTAGTCACCACTACATGATGCAGTACAGGTCAAAAGCAGCTGGAAAAGTTGCTAGTTGCATAATCAAAGAGCCAAATTGTAAATTCAAACTCATCCAAGCTTTCACAAATAATGCCTTAGAAGTGGAAGGAGTACCACTGCAGCCAGGCTTCGTCGGTGTTTTACCACAGTAATCAAATTTATGTTACCAACTTGTGGCCGATAAAATGATCTAAATTAGACTATTTGTTGAAACCTATTTAAGGAGAAGAAAATGGACTGGTCACGTGGCAAAGATGGCCAACAACAGACGGAAGAAATGCGTTATCGATTGGTACTCACGAGAAGTGAAGAAATGAGACAAAGAGCGTTTTATGAATCATGTACTTATATATTAAATTAAATTGTGGACAAATTTCAACTGGGTGGAATCTGCATATGCCTGCGAATATAACAAAGTTGATGTCGAAATGCAGGAAAGTAGGAGCTGTGAAACTTCTTAAATCATCGCATCCATCTATTATGTTGTATCGTCTGCATTAATTTTAATTTTATAACCACAGCAGTTTTAGATTCTTTTTCAAGCTGCAGTTCAGTGTACTGGAAATTCTGATACAACTACTCTCGACACACCTCTACGCTTTTCGGTGGTTTTGATCGAAGCTGCATAGATAGTGATTTAAGAAAAATGGCAGAAAGATTCTAACCGGAAAGAAAACTGAAAAAGGC